TGCAGAGGAGTGAATGTTACAGAGGAGGGAGTGGTTGTTGGTGATAAAGGTTTCGAAGTGGGTTACAAATTGTTTGAAATTGTGTGTAACTGTTACAGTCGGTTGTTAGAAAGAATGATTTTTTTTTGACCTTGTTAGAATTCATGGCATTGCAACAAGTGGTTGTTAGATTTTTAAAAAAAGTTGTTAGAGTTCATAGATGCTAGAATTGTGAGATTTCCTGTAGTTTTGTAGAATGTTGATTTTATTTAATTAAAATTGTTACAGGCAGTTGGTGTAACGGTTTTGAATCATTTAAATTTGTTCATTATTTAGAATTATCATCGTTTCTTATGAATGCCTTTGGTGTAAAAAAATTATGTATGTAGTTAAAAGTCTCCCCCCCAAAATAACTTTTTGAATATGATAAACCGCTTCAAAGTGGATTAGAATTCCTCTAAAATTAAAAAAAATCAATCATGGAAATAAAAAGAAAGGATCGACGAACTTGGAAATTATGAACGAAAAGAAAAGGAAATTTGAGAAAACAAACAAACAAACAAACAAACGTAAAGCAGAACAATATAAAGGACGACTTTCTCATCTCTGCTTTTATATTCTCTCTCTCTCTCTCTCTCTCTCTCTCTCTCTCTCTCTCTCTCTCTCTCTCCCTCTCCCTCTCCCTCTCCCTCTCCCTCTCCCTCTCCCTCCCTCTCCCTCTCCCTCTCTCTCTATCCCTCTCCCTCCCTCCCTTCGTCTCTTTCGTCCTTCCTCTCTCTCCCCCGCCAATCCTTTTCGTCCCCTTCCCCTCCCCATCTCCCCCTCCCCCCCTCCCCCTCCCCCTCCCCCTCCCCCCTTGCTGGACTGCTGTCAGGAAGAGTCCAAAAAAGGAGTCCGAGGCAAGGGTGTCGAGGAAGCGGCGATTTGTCTTGAGTGGCAGCTCTGTCTTCTCTCATATCCATACAATACGAGGATCCTTTGCCCTCGTCACTGTCCTACTCTCCCCCCCCTCCCCCTGCCCGCCCTTCCTCGTCCTCCTCCTCTTCCTCCTCTTCCTCCTTCTACTTCTCCTCCATCTTCTCCTCCTCCTTCTCCTTCTCCTTCTCCTTCTCCTTCTCCTTCTCCTTCTCCTTCTCCTTCTCCTTCTCCTCCTCCTCCTCCTTCTCCTCCTCCTCCTTCTCCTTCTCTTCTTCTTCTTCTTCTTCTTCTTCTTCTTCTTCTTCTTCTCCTCCTCCTCCTCCTCCTCCTCCTCCTCCTCCTCCTCCTCCTCCTCCTCCTCCTCCTCCTCCTCCTCCTCCTCCTCCTCTCCTCCTCCTCCTCCTCCTCCTCCTCCTCCTCCTTCTTCTTCTCCCCATCTTCTCGTCTCTTCCCTCACATCTCACTCCTCGTCTTCTCCTCCCATTTATCCCATTTTTCTCCCTCTCCCTCTCTTCCTCCTATCCCTCCTCCCTCCCGTTTCTTCTCCTCCTCCTTTCCCTCCCACAAACGACAATAGATATGACCTCCGCCTCAGCCACTCTATATGTATCTGCATATCAATGTATGTATGTTATTCATGCATATTTGGAACTGTCAGATCATCTTTGCGACACACACATAAACACACACACACACACGCATACGTAGACGCACATCCACTAACACACTCGTACACACTCACATACACACGCACACACGCGCACGCACGCACGCAGATACACTCACACATTTATGAAAAAATGTGTATGGTTATTATAATCATAAAGATACTAATGATAATGATGATGATAATAATAATGGTAATGTTAATAGCAATAACATAATAATGATAATGATAATAATAATGATCATAATGATAATAATAATAATAATTATTATCATCATTTGAGTTTTGTCACATGCCATGCACCTTCTGAAGAAATACAAAAAAATATACATCTTGTACTTATTGAATATTATTATCTTTTTCTCCTCTAATTTTCACTGATTATTCACCTGCCTCCCTCTTCCATGTGCAATCGTTTTCTCAAAGGCTTCAGCTCGTCGCCATGGCAACGTATGGCAACTTCACCTTGCATCATGCTTTGGCTTGACTTGTGGGTTCGCCCTCGTGGGTATGGGGTGGGGTGGGGGTGGGGGGAAGGGCGTGTGGGGTGTCTGTGTCTGTCTCTCTTTTTGCCTGTTTATTTCTCTCTCTCTCTCTCTCTTATTCTCTCTCTCCCTCTCTCTCTCTCTCTCTCTCTCTCCTCTCTCTCTCTCTCTCTCTCTCTCTCTCTCTCTCTCTCTCTCTCTCTCTCTCTCTCTCTCTCTCTCTCTCTCTCTCTCTCTCTCTCTCTCTCTCTTTCGTTCAAACGGACTGCCTCATCATCGATTTTCCAGAAAGTTGATTGTACTTTACAATGGCGAAGAACAAAGTGTTTTCCATTTTGTTTATTTTTGCCAAATATCTTTTTCTTTCTTTCTTTTCTTGTTTAGATTTGTCTGTTTATTTTATTCCGCCAGTATAGAATATCAACCAACTCTTCTTTTTCTTTTTCTTTTCGTAATCATTCCGGATTCTTATTATTTTTTTTGTTTTTGTTTTTATTTCTCATTTTTTCCCTCTGGATTTTTACGCTTTTTCCCCCAAGCGTTAACTCGAGACTAGTTTACAAAATGTCTTTCTCTTTTTTGTTCGTCTTTTTTTTTGTTATTTTCTTTGTTTTTTGCGTGTTTTTTTTTCTCCCAGTCACAATTTCCTAGAATATCCACACTGATTCATCCTCTTGTTTTATTTTTCCTTCGTCAGTATCTCGGATTTTTTATTTTTATTTATTTTTTAAAATTCATTATGACTATGATATCCGCAAACTCATGTCAGACACTTTTCCTTTCTCCCCTAAACACACCCTCTGTTATATCGAATTCTTAGTTTTTTTTTCCCCTAAATCATTATACATTTACTGAAAGTATCCACAAACTCACTGTCGCACCCCCCCCCCCCCCCCCGCCACTCTTACTTTTTTCCCCCTAAGTCGTTATATCGTGATTATTTCGAATATACCCGTCTTTTCGCTTTTTTCCCCCTTTTTTCCCTCGCGCGCCATCATCACAGTTTCTTATATTCTTATATTAGATCCTTATTCTTCCCCGCCACTTTTCCCCTAAGTCGTTGTATCGTGAATATTTCGCATATGCGCATTTTTTTCCCCACTATTTTCCCCTTTTTTCCCCCCTTTTCCCCCGCGCCACTATAGTAGATACTTACCTTCTCCCCCGTCATTATACGGAGAAATACCCCCAAAAACCGTACGTCTTTTTCTTTTTTAGTTAATTTGCCTCTTTATTATACACAGAATATCTATTAACTCACAGCTGATTTGCCTTCACTCCTTACTAACCATTAAACACGATACATGCGGTTTTTTTCCTAGTCTTATGTATCAAGAATACTTGCAAATTCAATGACGATACCCCCCCCCCCTTTATACGAATTCTTATCCGTTTTTCCTTGTTAATCTACTAATAATATCCATTTTTTTTACTATAGTGAAACTACCCACAAATTGCTATTATTGTTATTATCATTATTATTATTATTATTATTATTATTATTATTATTATTATTATTATTGTTATTATTAGTATTATTGTCATTATTATTGTTATTGTTATTATCATTATTACATTTACTACCCACAAAATATTATTATTATTCTTAATATCTTTACTATTCCTTCATTTACTCCCAAGAGAATACCCATAAATTCTTCCTTTTTTTTTTCTTTTTTTTTTTTTTTTTTTTTTTTTGCTTATTTTCCTTTTCTCTCCATCCCTCTTTTCTTTGCTCACGCCCTACCCCCCTTTTCCGTCCTCCCCCCCCCCCCCCACCCAACCCCGAGAACCTCGCACCAGCCATTCGCAGATCCGTGACGAGTCGTTCTATCGGGGTCCTCGGCGCCAGTACCCGGCTCGGGTATCTGACGCAGGATCTCGAGTCATCCCTCTTTCATTATGGGGGGGGGGGGGCACAGCGCGGCACCAACGGCGGACATTATGGGAGAGGGGGGGGAGGGGGGAGACGGTCGGCCCGGTCCTCATATCGGGCGCTCGTATTTAGTATTTTTTTTATTTGTTTGTTTGTTTGTTTATTTCATTTTGTATTTATTTATTTATTTGTTTATATTTATTTATTTATTTATTTAATTAATTATTCATTTATTTATATTTATTTATCTATTTATTTATTTATTTATTCATGTATTCATTTCTAGTTATTTATATTTATTAATTTATTTATTTATATATATTTATTCATTCATTTATATATTCATTTATATTCATTTATTAATTAATTTATACATATCTATTTATGTTATTTTTCTATCTATCTATTTATTTTTCGGCTGTTCGTTTTATTTCGTCCGTTCGTATGTCTCAGTCGTTCTCGGTCGGTTTGCGTCGGTCGGTCGACTTACTTCGGTCGTCTGCTTCTGTTTTGGTGTTCATGTAGTTCGGTCGTTTGGCTAATTCGCTTCATTATTATTATTATTATTATTTTATGCTTAACTTTATTATTATTATCGTTATAATTAAAATTATCATTATTATTGTTATTATTATTATTTATGCTTAATTTTATTATCATTATCATTATCATTAAAATTATTATTCTTATTATTATTTCTTAGAATTATTTTGATCATCATGATTATTATTATTATTATCATTATCATTATCATTATCATTATCATTATCATTATTATTATCATTATCATTATTATCATTATTATTATTATTTTCATTATTATCACCGTTGTCATTTTTACCATCATTCTTCCTCTTATCATCCTTCTCATCACCTTTATCATCCTCACTCCCCTATCCCTATCATCGCCATCATCGTCAGCGCCCTTCTGTCTTCTACGCGATCCCGCTTTGCATTTCCCGATTCGTCAACTTGGTTTCCCTCAGAAGCAAGTTGCGTCACTGAGCTTGTAGTTCCTGTTGTAAGGAACTTTAACTTTCGGTCTATATCCTCTGCCAGTGAATGTCTGCGGGGA